CCTCTGGGTTGACTTTGTCGGTGCTGGATCATGCCGAGCAGGAAAAACCTTTTCTAGAAGTTGGGCGGTCCAAACTGCACCCAGCATAGCGATGTGTTCCAGGACTGACCAGCCCCGTTGGCCAGCCCAGGTCGATGGTCTTCTCTCCTCATTGTGCCCCTCCCTCCTGTACAGATCCAGACTCGGCCCGGTCACTCATGAGCGGGGCTCCACTGGAGAGGAACCAGACACGATGGCCAGTAGAATGTACTAGAAACGAACCGGCCTGGGCCCAGAACACACCCACTAGCACTACCCTATCGCCACAAAGAGCCAGCCCCCCCCGACACAGGTTGTCCACACTTCCTGTTTCCCGCGGACAGGAAACAGGAAGTGGGCGTCCTTGACCAGGGGTCTGCGCCTGACACTGCGGGGCCCGCGCCCCATACCGAGGGAAACGGGTCATCCCATCGCAAGCGTACGCACCAGCGTACTGGTCCTCAGATAGCAAGAGACACGATCAGCTTTCCCTGGCGTTAGCCAGAGCAAGATGGCGGTTCACATCCTGTGTGCTTACCGCGAATCGGATTCAGCAGCGGAAAAGTCCAGAGAATCTGCTGAAGCGCAGCCCTGGGAGGAGACACAGCACGACAGGCGCTGAGGCGACTCCTCTGTGGTCAGGCTGTGCTCACGTCTCCCCCGGGTGCCGACAACGTGACATTTTTGCTGGCCGTGATGGCAGTTGGGCGTCTCCACCTTGTTTTCCTCTCTCCCCTGTTTGCTTTTTCGCGAGGGCGTTAATGGACGGGCACATGTTTTTGTTGCTGCCTGCGTTCGGCCCCCGACTGCCTGGTCTGCAAACATGCTGTTGGTATAACAGGAGGCGAGCAGCTGGCAGCTCCTGCGCTACGCGGGCACGCCTGGCATGATTCCACTGCAATCCAGTGCACTTCCCCCGTGCACGCGGGACGCCCAGCAGCTCTTCAGAAACAGCCTTCCCCCACCGCCCCTAAACAGGATTCTGATCGTGATGCTGGGGAGGCCAGCTCACACTCCACTGATACTGGAGAGGCCCGAGCAAGTGTCAAACACTGAAGAGGAGCATAATATAATCACCCCCATCTCTGAACTGGCTTCCTCACTCTGCTCTCCTCCCCACTGAGAGCTGGTGTGTGTGAGAGGACTGGAGCATCATCCAGG